TGTCAGTATCTTCTGATCTCAAAACCTTTGTTAATATGGATAACCTCTTCAAAATCGATTTTCTTGCCTCAATTTCATTCGAATGAGCTATGAATTTGAGTATGTTCTTGCACAAACTCGAGCAAGAGATCTCATTTGGATTCACTTTTTCAGCTTTGGATGTTGTTCAGTTGATGTAAATTTGTGTCTGAAGCGGCTCTCGAAGATCCCACTGTTCCTTCAATATTGCAAAAGCTGCATGAATTTTCTCTCTACGAAACGTCTCCGTCTGAGGTCTGGTTCAAATTAATGTATATATGGAGCTATGCAAGCTTTGAGTTCGCGAAAATTTGAGATTGAACTGATATTTGAAGATTTCGTTGAATTGTTCTTTTCGTTTTTGTATCTATAGAAAGGGAAATGCGTATAAAGCTTCGTTTCTTGAAGTCTTTGATCGATCGTAAGAATTTGCAGCGATTTTGCGGTCGATTGGGTGCCGCACTATTCGTTTTCTCAGGAGATGCAAGTAGTTGAGATTTGAGTGTTAGGAGAGAGAAAGAAAAGAAAAGCGTGCGAGTGAAATTTTTGTCGCTAGTTTTGATTACTCACGTGAAGGTTGTGAAAATGCCTCATCGAACGACTTACTTCTTCCCAAGGCAATTCGAGAACCGTGGATTCGATGAATCATCAAAGTTTCTGTTGGATCACGAGAAGAAGATTAACAGAGACACCTCTAATGGCATTGACAGTGACCAGCGGAAGAAAGAGTCAAATATTTCAAAGGAGGTCACATTTGGCGGTGGTGAAAAGGACTCGATTTCAACTGTAGCTGATCGCTTCACGGGCGATAAAATTCACGAAAAGCAATTAGCCACTTTCGTCAATTGGTTGCAAGAAAAAAGAGGAGAGAGGTCAACTCACGTGAAAATCAAGTTAAATCACCGTGACGACGATCATGATAATGATCATGAACATTTACTTCCGCCGACGACTGTGGAATCAACGGCCGGTACCGGTGAAGAAAACCGTTATGTTCCCCATGTGACGTTGCAGAAACAGTCGATTGGTGGTGTGAGAAGCACTGAGGTGACTGGTACTACTAAAGCGCGGGGGTTCGATCGGCAAGGGTCATTGCAGAGGCTGCCGAGTGGGAGTAGTTATGCGGGTAGTTGGTTTTCGGGGACGACATTGGATGGAAATTGGTCGAGTGGTGTCAAGGATTCGCAGGTGTCGACGACGATCGAAGAGGAGGAGAGTGGTAGGAGTAATTTGGCCCAGAGGTCGAGGGAGAGCTATTACTTGCTGCTCACGATTGCTAAACGGCTCACTGAGGAAGCAACGATTGCCAGTGAGCCTATGCTTCTCCAAGACTCTGGAAAGGTGGGCCTTGGTGGATCTTCTGATGCAGAAATTGTCTCCTATCGACTCTGGGTATTTTCTTCTTTCTCTTTTTTTTTTCCTTTCAAAAACATGTTTCTAATTTCTGTAATCTTTTACAGTTTACTTTACACCATTCTTTTAACTGTTGACACTGATTATTTGTCAATCTTTTGTTTCTAACTATCGACTTTCTTGTGTCTTCATACGATCATACTTATGACGCTTTCTGGTGCAATCACTTCGGTTTTGTAGTTCTTGCAAGTTGGCGTTTTTCATCTCAGTGCCTGAAGATTAGTCTCCTTTCCTATTACTTCGTCTACATTTTGGTCAAAATGACGCTAGTGTGTCTTTTTCTTACTTTTTCAAATCATGTTTGGTTTCGTCGTGGCAACATCTTCGGCAGAGACCTTGTCACTCATCACAAACGCATGTCGTTTTCTCTTCCCAGTGTATGTTTTCTTGGATGACGTGAAATTTTAATGAATTTACTCAATCAATTAGAAGCTGCAGTTGAGAATTTTCAAATCCTAAACAAAATTCTGACGTCTTCCCAGCTAATGAGGCATGATTAATGGATTATAGTTGGTGATAGGATATGATAATCTTGGTGAAGTATTCAATTTCTAGCTTGAAATCATAGTTGAACATTGTTTCAATAACGTGCTGCACCTCCTAAATATTCTTAACCCTTTTTCTCTGGATAATGCTATTAGAACCTAAAAAACTGACTTAATTTACTAACATAATAATGTGTCAATTGATGGAGTCCCAATAAAAAAGTCCAAATGTTACAGGTGAAGTATTCAATTTCTAGCTTGAAATCATAGTTGGACATCGTTTCAATAACGTGGTGCACCTCTTATAAATTTCTAACCCTTTTTCTCTAGGTAATGCTATTAGGACCTAAAAAACTGACTTAATTTACTAACATAATAATGTGTCAATTGATGGAGTCCCAACGAAGAAGTCCAAACCAAATGTTACGGTCACAATATTATTATCAGCAAATTATGTTAGTTTTTTATGCCCCACCAGTATTACTCTTTTTCTCCCTTCTCAGCAATATTTACTTTGATTCATGTGTTAATGCATGCAAATCTTAACTTTCAGGTAAGTGGTTGCTTGTCATATACTGATAAGATGTCAGATGGATTCTACAATATTTTGGGAATGAATCCATACTTGTGGATGATGTGCAATAACTTGGAGGAAGGTAAGCGACTGCCATCTTTGGCGGCACTTAAAGCTATGGAGCCCAGTGATACACTGTTGGAGGTGGTTCTTGTTGATAGACGAGGGGACGCACAGCTTAGGGAGCTAGAAGATAAAGCACAAGAAATCTTTTTTACTGCAGAAAATACCTTAGCATTAGCAGAGAAACTTGGCAGACTTGTTGCTGACCATATGGGGTAGGTTTCAACATTACTCTTTAGTTTACAACTTGATCCTTCACCTTTTTTTGTCGTAAGAATGTTAAGTTTGTTGGAATTAAGGGGCTGTTTTCCAGTGGAGGAAGGTGATGTCCACATGCGCTGGCAATTGGATAGAAAGAGATTGGCTGATATACAGAAGTGCGTTGTGCTCCCAATTGGTAGCCTATCTGTGGGACTTTGTAGGCATCGTGCGATTCTATTCAAGGTGACAATATATACTGCTTGTGTTCCATTATTGGGGAAAAAGAAATCGATAGTTCTTTAGCTGTTTCTTTTAGGGCATTTCAAGCACTACTACTGTCTCTGTGGTGAAGTAAAAAAACTGATGTATGTTGTATTGTATATGTATGTATAACGTTTCCAGTTGGTAATTAATTTCCAATGTAGTGAACTCTTAGTTATTGCCATATAATTTACGATCCATGGCTTCATAAATCTTTGATAAAATATTTAAGCAGGTGACTTGATTTGATATGCAGAAATTGGCTGACTATGTGGGTTTGCCTTGTCGGATAGCTCGAGGGTGCAAGTATTGTGCGGCAGACCATCGATCATCCTGTTTAGTGAAAGTTGAGGATGACAGAAAGTTCTTGAGGTAAGATACTCCTTGTTTGCTTCAAAGAATGTAAACTTTCTAGGCATCCAAATGGAATAAGGAATAATATCTGCAGTTCTTTCTAGACATATGACCTTATCCATATTTTTTGTGCGGGTGCATCCTTTGTCTTCTAAACATAATCAATGGGCTGGGTGTGAAAAGTGTAGTTGTCTTATTCTTACTGCAGTGGATGCCATTATGCCATCTGCTAACTGAATGAGCATTTGAGTTGTTCTTCCAAAGAAATTTTATATTTTTAAGCAAATTTCTCAAGGTATGGGATGATAATGTAGTTTTATATTTATGTTTCTTATTTGTGTTGGGACTCATACTACCTTTGAAATGCTGCACAGCATGCATCAACTAGCTCTTCCTATGGTACAGTAGTGGGCCATGACTCTGCTCCTACCATATGATTTTCTTCACATGCTTGGTTTATGATTTCACGAGGATATTAGGGTGTTGAAGAGTTTGATATCATCTTACTATGCACTTTGGAGTTGTTTGACTTGTTTCGTTGTGCATCATATGTTTCATTCATATCAGAGTGTTCTTATGTCTGGGCTTGGATACCTGTCTGATGAATCCACGAAGTCTTTGAAAAAAATTCGTTGAAATCTTGTATTTCACTTCTTCTTGTTTACAAATGCATCTACTTCTTGACAGGGAATTTGTAGTAGACTTAGTTGGGAAACCAGGAAATGTCCATGGGCCAGATTCCTCAATCAATGGAGTTGTATTTTGTTCGATGCCTTCACCATTTCAGATTTCTCATCTAAAAGAATTCCAACAATCTTACGTGGATGATATATCATGTTGTCAATTCCCCTACTCAAAGCAAACATGTGCTCCTCTCGAAGAGCGTCTATATGCAGGTTTGCTTACCTTGATATATGTCATTCAAGTTCTATGTGCACCTCAGGATTAAAAGCCTCAGGATGTTTGGGTTCTGATAGCTTTGGTTAAAATCATGGAACAAATCTTTGACACTGTGAATCTTGATGAAGTAATAACACACTAACACCCATTACAGATCAGATAACTTAATGTTCCCTAGTATTTGTGACTTGCAGTGTGACTTTTGTGTTCCAGACAATCTCTGGTGATGTCTATAATCTCATGAATAATGACCTCTCTCCGCTGACTGCTGAGTCAACTATTTTGTGATGAAGTGGTCTTATTAAAGCAAAACGTGTGCTCATCAGTGTTCATATTGTCATTTTGGCTCTAAATGCAACATTTGGAACTTCATTTGATGGTCACTGGGGGCATTATTTGTGTCAGGGTCCATGGGATGTACCCCATTATCCCTTGGTGTTAAACCACCAATTCATCTAAAAACTCAGGCTGATAATTTATTAATACTCCTCATCATGTGTGGCCCTCTTTGGTGATTGTCCACTGTGATTGTTGTGTATTAAGGAAGGTGGAATTGGTATGGTTGGCTGCAGATGGCCACAAATTGTGAATATAAAACTAGCAAAATTATCTTGGTATCAAATTTTTTACCTCAGTAATGAAACTCACTTTTGAGATCAATTTTTCTCAGGCAGTAAGGAGGATCATTTAAATGATGATTTTGGCTTGCTTGAAAATCCAAAAGAGGCTTTATACAGTCCAATTGATCAACGTGGAGGAGGTGAACTGCCTGAAACTCTGGATGCTGCGACTGTTGCTGCTGGAATAGTACATGAATATTCAAAACCTCGAGGGGAAAAAATTGTTATTCGACAGACTTGCAAAAAAGAGGGGGTGATGGCGAGTGGCCCAGTTGTAAGCACTGCGGTCAAACATCATGATAAAGTACCCTCTAGTAAATCAGATTCAATGGAGGTTAGGAGTCGAGGTGAGCATCGAAGGATATTTCCTGCTCCAACCATTCCAAGATACTTGAATCTCGAGCCTTCTCTTGCAATGGATTGGCTTGAGATCTCATGGGATGAATTACAAATAAAGGAGCGTATCGGTGCTGGTACTTTTTCATCCAGTTATTCATTGCCTATTAACTTCTTCCCTAATGAAATTGGACTTTCTCTTTCTGTAGCTATTATGGGAAATAACATAAAGGTTGTTCTGCCTCTCAGGATCGTTTGGAACAGTGCATCGGGCTGAGTGGCATGGATCGGTTAGTATTATCTTTTGCGTTTTCAGTACTGATTGTCAATTCTGTTTAGGGTGGATAGTCTGACTCTGTTGGTAAGCGAAAATGTGACGCTATCTTCTAAATCATATGTTTATAAGAAAGTACGATGGATATTCATCATTGTTGTCAGGTCGTATACTTAAAATAGTAGATGAATACATTTTGTGGAGTGTTGTGAGCATATAGGCTATGAATGTTACTCTTATGGGGGCATGATGCTGAACCAGATGGTGGAATTAAAGCTTGTGATTCCCACACCAAATTCAACACATGCTTAATGGAAGTCATTCAGTCCTACAGGAAAAATCCCCAAGAGACATCCTGACCAAACAACTTGCAGCTAACCTTGTTTCTTGGGTTGCCCGGTGATACGCATATGCATAAATGAATATAATGTGCCTGTGTGTGTGTTGTTTATTGGCTATTTTATCTTTCACTTGCCATCAACTTGCTTTGCTTAGGTTGCTTTCATCTTGATCAGTGGTCTTTCCCGATGATTGATCCCTAGATCACAGGCAAGCTAAGTTTGCAAGTATTTTGTTTCTCTTCTATAGATGCCCTCCCTTCTTAGTAATCTCTGCTGATAAGTGCGATGTGTTCTTGGCTATGTAATCACCCTGTTTTCATTATGCTGCCATTGAGTGTTAATGTGTTCTTGGTGACATAATCACCCCGTTTTCATTATGCTGGCATCGAGTGTTAATGTGTTCTTGGCGCGTATTCACTCTGTTTTCATTATGCTGGCATTGAGTGTTACAAACTAGCTTCCTTACCAAAGTTAAATATCATGCTCTCATTGCAGGATGTTGCAGTCAAGGTTTTAAGCACGCAGGATTTTCATGATGATCAGTTGAAGGAGTTCCTGAGGGAGGTATAGCGTGAATCCTTTTCGATATTGTAGAGACTATTTGTGTATTTCCATACTATAGTTTGGCCATCATTCTTGGCAACTCTTGCTATTGCATTTTGAATCTGTATTGTGATATGAAAATTTTAGGGACAATTTATACAGGCAAACAAACCTATGGAATGTGTGACTCGATGGACAAAACACTTTGTCCTTGAGGAAATTATATGCATGCATCTTTTTGTATGAAAACAGGTGGTTCATTGGAGGCATTTTTGTTCCAATTATATTTGTGTTTTGTAAGGTTGTTATGATGTTAAGTCTGTATAATCATATTTTAGATTGTAATTGACTTTTTTATTTATCTGAAGGTTGCAATAATGAAACGCGTCCGACATCCAAATGTAGTTCTTTTCATGGGTGCTGTTACAAATCGTCCGCATCTGTCAATAGTGACAGAATATTTACCCAGGTAAATGGGTGCTCAGTTCTCGTTTGACAATGTGAAAAGTGCAACTTTGTGTATTCTAATCTCAATTTCCATGGAACAGAGGTAGTCTATACCGCCTCATACACAAGCCAGCCGCTGGGGAAATGTTGGACCAGAGAAGGCGGTTACGCATTGCTCTGGATGTGGTTTGTGCTGATTCTTAGTGTTTTTATTTCCAGTATTACTAGCATATTCTGTGAGGTGATCTCTGATACAAGCTGCATGCAGGCCAAGGGGATCAATTATCTTCATTGTCTGAACCCACCTGTGGTTCACTGGGATCTTAAATCTCCAAATTTGTTGGTTGATAAAAATTGGACTGTGAAGGTACAACTGTTATCATAGCCCTCCTCCCTCCCCTCCTGCCCCCTCCGGGTCTCCCCACAGCCCACAAAATAAATATTTTTCTCCCCTTAGCCTGCCTCAAAATTTATTTCATATTATATATCATTCTCAGGTATGCGATTTTGGTTTGTCAAGATTTAAAGCCAACACATTCATGTCGTCAAAGTCTGTTGCTGGAACAGTAAATCTCTCTCTCTCTCTCTCTCTCTCTCTCTTGCACAAACACACAAACTATTACTTATTGGGAGATGGAAAAATAATCAAAATAGTTGTTGGACAGTTAAACTTTGCTCCCATAAGTAAAAGAACCTCTGATCTCAGCACCCATGCTTTCTCCCCAACTCATTTTGCAATTATTATTCATTAGTGACGTCATAAATCTTTAAGGCCATGCTTGGTTGGAATGAATTTTACTTTGATAAGTAGGCCATCTATAGCTCTTGTTTGACTAGTTCCCAAGGGAATCTGCAAGTGGTCTAGAATTTCCAAGTCTTCTAATTCGTAAATTTGTTCTGGACATAATAACCTCCTTGTAACTCTGTTTTTGGCTGAACTGTCCTTACAATGTAACTTCCCCCAAAACCATGTAGAACCAGTTTCTCCAACTGCAGAATATGTGGTAGAAATTGAACTATTGTTGTAAAACTACCTTACTTCCAAATGCAATTATTGGCACTTCGAGATACTCCTGAGCTGGCTGGGCATGACTGGGATGTAGAGGAGATTGTGGCAGGTGGTTATAGGCTTGTAGTTGATTGTTTCAACTTTCAATGATATCTGTACATTGTTGCCTCAAAATTGAAGACGTAGACCAAGATCAAGAATTTTTCTTACGAGGTGTTTTATCACTTGATTGCTTTTATTTGAGCATTTTCTTTGAGTGTATTAGTTAATATGTAATTCTCTTGCTTTTTGTTTCAGCCTGAGTGGATGGCTCCTGAGTTCCTTCGTGGAGAGCCCTCGAATGAGAAGTCTGATGTTTACAGTTTCGGAGTAATTTTATGGGAGCTTGTGACCATGCAGCAGCCTTGGAGTGGACTTAGCCCTGCCCAGGTTTATTTTGACAAGCATTTGAGATCTATATCTGTTCAATTGGTGGTAGTTGCTACTACCAGCTCTTCTTGTTGTTCCTTCACAATTGGAAAAATGTTAAAATAGGGAAGATTTCATCCACACCTCTCTAGTTTATCCTAGATCAACCGGCACCCTTGTTCTTATCTAAAATTTCGTTGAACCCTTGGTAAAAAAAAGTAACGATAATGTTGGTTGGACGCAATTGCTCTCGAAACACTTGAACATCTATCTATTTGTACGTACAATATCTACCTACAGTAGATAAAAAAATGGCGCCCCAATGTACAAGTCTCTCGCTATTGTGGGGTGTCAGTGGAGGGTCTATATAATATTATTTACCTCTAATAGATGTATAGTGTACTGCATTTGATGTGTGCAACATAAAAAGTATCAATCTAGATGCAATTTTTAGGTTTTTTATTTAAGTAGATTTTCTGCTAGTATTTTATTTAATTAGATATTCTGTTGTAATTTATTGGATTATTATTAAATGATATTATATTATCATCACATTAAATAACAGAAGGGTTAAATTTATATTATCTAAAAAATCTTTGGCGTTATCACCATCTTTTATGTTGTTGGCGACAAGGGGGTGAGAATATTTTTTCATATTAAATGTTTTTTCATGGGGTGATTTTTGAAATGCTCTCTTTCTAGATCCTCTCTCTGCACAAACACGCACATACTTCTTGGATTGACATACCTCACAATTTTTCAGGTGGTTGGAGCTGTTGCTTTCCAAAACAGAAGGCTCGCCATCCCCCAGAACATCTCTCCAATATTGGCTTCCCTCATGGAATCTTGTTGGGCCGAGTAAGACTCTTCTGCTATAGTTGGAACTCCTAAAAAATAATAATAATCAACAAAATCTAGTAGATTATGGCTCCCCTGACTGATTATATGACTACCTTATTTAAAAGTATTGGAGATAAATACACTTTGCTAAACAATTTCGCAAGAGCATAGATTTGCCTTGGTTGTCTTTGTTTTTGATGATTGGGATGAATTGTCTTTCCAAAATCAAGTTGACCCAATTTTATGCTCGACTCAACTGTTTACATTTTCATGTAAACGGATCATATTATTTTTTGGTTTGTCTAGTAGTAGTAAACCCTAACATCAACTCATGTTTTCAAGCCATGAATTACCACCCCTAGTTGTTTGTTCACCACTTACTTTGTACCTGTACCATTACTAGGATGTAGAAGAGAATGTGTGAAATTTAGTAGCACAGCAGATTCTGTCTTCTTAAGAACGCTTTGGGCATCATTGGTGAGACAACATTATTGGTGTTAACAAAGAACATTCATGGAGAATTCCTTGATTTTTTTTCTGTTCTTGGAATTTATGTCCTTGACTAAGTCTCCTCCTTAGTTAATTAAGCCATGATAAATTATGTTCTTTAGTATGTCAAAACCGGAGTTAAATGAGAGCTTCTTAGTAAGTGGGAGACCAAGTGAACACATTGAGGTATGTAGATTACTTCATGGGCAATATGAAGTCTTGTATGTAAAATCTGTAAGACCCAAAGAGGTAAAGAAAGAAAGCCTGCGCCTGCCCTGAGGCCAAATTTGTGAAATGAAATTGCTTCTCAAACCTAATTTAGAGGGATTGCTTTCTCCTTTAATCTTCAAAGAATGCCGGCTTTCTTTGTTGCGATGGATTGAATGTGCATTAGGCATTACAAAATATGGGTTGTGAGCAAGGATTAAAATTTTGTTTCAATGCACAATTTCGGTGAGCTTAGAAACATAAATGTTTTGGAACATTTCAAAAACAGGATGAAAACAAAAAAAAATGTAAAAATTTATTTTCAAAACATACCAAAACATTTCGAAACTTACCGAAACACCTAGAAACATAGGAATTTTTATATTTAATTAATGATTTGTTTTGGTTTCCATGAAAACGTAAATGTTTCGGACTTTACGATTGTTTCGAAACAAAATTAGTTCCTTGGCTGTATGTCTTCTCCAAGTAACTAGTTAATTTTCTTTGCTTTCAATTATAGCTCACCTATTATCTCATGGTTTTGTTTTTTTACCTTGGCAGAGACACTGATCAGCGGCCCTCTTTTGCTAGTATTGTTGAGACACTTAAGAAGTTACTGAGGTCTCCACTGCAGCTGATACAGATGGGAGGATCATAGAAACTTAATATGCTCCGCTATATGTAGACCTCTTGCTTGCTGATTTTGGAGATGTCACCACCTATGGTCACACAAAATGCTGGTGTCTATACTTACTGTACTGACCGAGCCTTACTGTTTTAAGACAACAATTACAGATATGCTTGCTTGTGTCCTTTTCATCAGATATGTTGCTTGTCTGTTTGAAAGGTCACTGCATACATGTTGGAGTTGTATATCTACGTAAAAGGGTTGTAATCAGACGGGAGAGCAGGAGGAAAACTCGGTAAGCTCCTCTCTCTGCTAATCTTGAATATGAATAAATTCAAGGCCAAACTGGGAATGTATTTTTGTTGCCATGCTAGTCGTATAGGCTGTGTATCAGTGGGACGTGCAATTCAGTGTCGTAAAGACTCGGTGATCCTGAGGATGTTTCTTATAAATTTCAAGGGCATCCAACACTAATACAGCACATTTGTCTTTTTATTTTTTTAATGTGTTAGATGAGTGAATAGCTTCTTTTTTCCATTTCTTGTTTTGTTTTACCAATCAGTGTTATGTTGTGAAACTTGTTATGCAAGAGTTTATAGCATTGAGATCCCATCAAAATCTGTTAGCTCGTCTTTAATGGTACTAGTTATTGCACATGTGTATTATACGTGAACTATATAGAGTTATAATTAAGTTAGGATACTTATTTAGAGGATTAAATTAAACTATGATTATCGAATAAATCACTTCTTTGAGGGGAATATAAATTAAATTACTAATACGAAGCTAGACTATAGAGTATCGAAAGTAATTATATTATTTGACTTTCAGATAACTCTTGCATTTATTTTACCGCACTGTAATATTTTGTAATTCATATATTCACTTCACTTAAATATTTATTTTTAGAATGTGTATGGTCTAACTTGTTGTGTACTAGAGGAAGATAAATTTGTTTTGAATTATTAAAAAGTTGATGTATATAACTTTTTTACGAAGATAAAAAGTTATGGGAATATTATGTAATTAATTGAAGAAGATTTAAGAGAGATTGATCAAGGTAATTTATTATTTTCACTTGCAAGGTGATAGGATTATTATTATTATTTTGGTATTACGATTAGAGTTGTTTGGATTAACTTACGTAGGATAATTTTTTCTTCAATCAATTTAGTCAAAGACTCGTCCTTTAAATCATCTGTGTTCACTGGGTACTGGGTACATGTTGCCCTAAGAAAAAAGAAAATTTGTCAAGTTTCAAATTATGCCTGTGTCAGTTCATGAGAGTGCAATGGGAGGTGCTCACAACTTGTATCGTTGGAGAAGTGTTTTAATTTATCAAACAGAATCGAATACAATTTTTTTTAAAAAAAAATATCATCAATTACCAACCATTTCTTACCACCTGCTATCAACCAAAAGCAAAGTAAGTAATAACAGACCAAAAATTAATGAAAATTTTGTAACATTATTTCTTTGTGGTGCTGAAAATTATGTGTACAAAACGGTCAAGCCACAGGTTCCATCTACAAAACCCATACCAGTATAAATTAAACAATAAAAACTATTTAGACGTAATTTACTGATTTAATTCATTATAATTAATAGATTGATTGCAGATTCCAACAAATCTGGATATCCGCCGTCAATCTAATAATTATGAGTTCTCAAATAAGCAAATTAGGCCATTAAAATTAAATTAGATGGAAGTAACATTGCTATAAATTGAACCATTTTGTTTCTTACAAATCCAAACTTTGGGCTAACCTTTAGAGACACCAAGCTCCACATCTTTGGCTGCAATTTCCTCAACTCCTTCCTTTAACAATTTCATATCCTCTTCTGATAGAATGTCTTTACTTGAGATCAACTTGGAACCACCTTGCTTCGCAGTCTCCACAGCCCAACTATAAATCACCATACCAATAACAGCAATAGCCATACCCAGAATGTTCTTCAATGTCAACTCTGAATCGAAAAGCAACCACCCCAACATCAACACACAAACTGTTTTCATATGCCCCAAAACTTGGAACGAAACAGCCGAAAATCGGCCGATGCAGAGGTACTGGCTCACATTGCAGAACACTGCTAGGGAGCATGAGAGCAAGATGAAGAACATTGCACCAGAAGACAAGGTATAGTCCGATATGGATTTGCCATTGAGGTAGTAATCGATGAAAGGACCAAGAAAAAGGAGAGAGATTGCTTGAATTGGGGCTGTTTTGCTTAGCAATTCAAATGAGCCTATTGAGTACTTTTTTTGTAATGAACCAATTGAAATTTGTTGGAGAGATGAAGAAATTACTGCCACTAAGGCGCAGAAAAAACCTTTTGCGTTAACTTTGACGTCCGTAACGGTGCAGACACCGACGCCGACCACCACTACAGCCACCGCCGCCTTGACTTGCGTCGAATAACGTTTTCCGTGAAGAATCCACTCCAGTACACAAACCACAGGAATCATGCTTAGCTTTGAGATCTGGTAAAATCCTACGGAATTGAGCATGAGACTAAGGTTCATTCCGGTGATCGAAGTATTGGCAACGATGGAGAACCAGAGGAGCTCCCAGAACGGAACGTGCTTTGAGGCGGAGTAACCAGCGGCGTTTGAGACTAAACCGACCAACGCCGTCACGGAGAAGTGGAAGCCGGTCAAGGTGGTGGCGTAGCTGAAAGCGTAGCCGCCGGGGGACATTAGTTGCTTGTTAGCCATTATAATCCCGACGGAGCTTACAATGTTCATCGCCCACGCGCCAACGTCGGAGACAGCAGACGGTTTCTTCTCCTTCTCCATCGCCATCTCGATCTCCGACCTCCGGTAAGCACAAATTGTACAAGAAACTAACCAATTAAAAATTGAAACTGGTACAGCTCCAATCGATTCAAGAACGAGAGAAACAAGAAAAATCAGAGGAGAAAACGAAGGGAGATAGATCTAAGAAGCAGATCTGTATTCGAGAGCTTTAAAAGGGCATACAGTGACTCGTTTGTCTCTCTCTCTCTCTCTCTCCCTGTGTTTCCTTGTTCTATCGGCAACAGACTGGATGTTTCTCTCTCTCACATGGATGTTTCTTTTTCCCACATGGATGTTTCTCTTTCTCACCTTTAAGTTTGGGGGAAGTCTATGACTCTATGGTAAGAATTTTTTAGTTTAGATATGTACCATTATTATAATTTTGTGATTTATTTTTAAATTTTTTAAAAATTATTTATAATTTTTGAGAGTAATTTATAATTACAATATTTAAGAATTTTTTACAATTTTTTGACATCATTTAAAATTCTTTATGTTACTTATAATTGATTATAAAAAATTGGGCAAAATTCAGTTTATCCTATTGTGGTTTGGGTATTTTGCACATGACCTTATGATTTGAAAATCAGAACATTACCCCCTTATGTTTTTGGACTAAAATGCACAATTAACAAAGTAATAAAATGACTTCAGTACCCTTAATTATTCATCATCATCTTCTTCCCTCTCAATTGTAGTCTAATTTTCTGAAAAATCAACTAACCACCCAACTTTACAAGTTTTTCTCTCTTTCCACAAAGTACCAAACTTCCTTAAAGCAACGCTAATATCCTCCACTTTCAACCTAGTTTTAAACCCCACGGACTTGTTTCCTTAAATAGCCCCTATGACCCACAAATTTAAGCTCAAAGGTGATCACAAACTCATTTTGACAAATTACGTGCATATCAGATTTTTTTTCAACATTTGGGCTAACTTTGGCCCTGAATTTCTCCTTCATTTCTCAACCTTTTTGGGTGATTCAAATGCCTAAATTTAACTTCTTTCTACTCTCTTTCCAACCATATATTTAGTTTGTCTAAATCATGTACAAGGTAAGTGAAAATCGAGCTCTAAAGTGACAGGTTCATTATTTTCAAAAATTATCATGATTTTTAATTCAATTTTTCACTCACTAAACCTCATTCTTTCTCGATTCTAACTTAAAAAATGGATTCCTTGACCCTAAAAATAGTGGATTAGGCCCCCCTCACCTCCGAAACTCAAAATTTTGAATACCCAAAAATTCAAGTTTCAAGCTTAAACAATAGTCTTGCTTTTCTCTCCCTTCCTCCCTTGCCCTCTCCTCTCTGCTCAAACCCCTTCTTCCCATGCTCTCCTCGCCGCGACCAACGACATCAAAGCCACACCCCTTTCTGCACATAAAGACGATCCCATCATGATTATTGAACCTCTAACCATTAGTTATTCCTATGGTTTGAGTGGTAAGATGAATTTCACTTAGAGCCGTGCATAGTTAAGAATCATCCACTTAATTTTAATTTTTAAAATTTTGTTGTTAAAAATTTTGATAAGGAAACGGTGCTTGGAGTGAATTGTCTGAGAAAAAATATGATAGTCAACTGTTGAGGAAGATGAAGATCGAAGAAAGGTATTATTGTACTTTTATTGTGTCTATTTTTGGAGGAAAAAAGTTTTGTTATGTCAAATCTCTTTTTAGGCACGTGTGTGACACAGATGGTTTAATCTAATGGAAAAACTAACAATAACATTTTAGTCCAAAAGCATAAGGGGATAATGTGCTGATTTCTAAATCATAAAGGGATCATGTGCAAAATACCCAAATCACAAGGGAATAAACTAGATTTTGCCCTAAAAAATTTCGGATCAATTTCAAATGACCCACAAAAATTGTCAACGAACTATACAAGTTATAAATTTAACCATAAAATTTGTTAAAAAAATAAATTCGTGAACAAACTTAAAAACTTATATTTTAACCCATAAAACTTGTAAATTTTGGCAGTACCAAAACTTTTTATTCGGTACCATAATTTTCTCCTTAAGTTTGGGAAAAATAAAAGGTCAAGAGTAGGGCAATTAGTCAAACGATTTCGAGCCGAATTTAAAAAAATTATTTTTTAATCGAGTTTAAAAAAATTATTTTTTAATCGAATCTAAAAAATTATTTAAGTTCGATTTTGAATGAGCTCAAAACAAGTCGAGTCAGAGCCAAGCCCAAATATTTGCATATAAATGAGTCAAGTCTGTC